TAATCTGACAACGGAGCATTCATATCATGATGTACCTGGCATGACATACCATTCATATTGTCAAGAAGAAACCAAAAACTTTCCTTAAAATAACAACATTACAAACTAGGTATATACTCATTTTTCTGTTCCATCAACGATATTATAATTTGGCTTTAAAAAAAAAGTGTGTGTAGATGATTTAACTTTAGTCACCCTTGCACTACTAGAACTAATAAGTCAATGCCAATCACAAACTTCACATGTAACCGCAGAACTTGAATACAAAGTTGAGATTCTTACTACTATTGACATCAATATTATGACACAAAAATAAAATATAACAAAGAAAAGCACCGCAGTTCCGAGATTGTAAAAGTCACTTTTTAAAGTTGTTTTGGTTGGTCCTTTGTTTTGGAAGTTTTAATTAAAGAAAAAACATTTTCAGTTAAAAAATATCTCTAAAAGATTTTCTAATAATCAAGCATTTTAAAAAATTAATTTGTGCTTTTATTATAAGAAAAGTAAATTTTAAAATGGAAATATTATATGTGATGTGGCAAATGTTGTAAATAACATTTTGGCTAACAGTCCCAGAAAGTATATGATTTTTTCAATTAGTCTTTAAGAGATGAAAGATATTTTTGGAAACAGTTTTAATTTACTTAAAGTTACTTTCAATAAACAAATTGACCATACCACCCAAGTTCTATTTTTGGACACATGTTGTATATAAGTAGTCTTCCCTGCGTTGGGGCTCCATGATGTGAGGTAAGCGTTCACACCTTCAACTCCAATTAGTCTCACTTGAAAGGACTCAAACAATGGTTGGGAAGCTTAATCTATGTCTTTTAAAAAGTAATCATAGAGGGCTCACCCAGTTTTTGTCCGTTATATAAACTTTTCCAATTTTCCTTTTTTTCTTCTCATCTTTTTCCAGTACGTCGAAATCAGACAATAAAGCAAATTAGTACAACAGCGAATAATCCAACAGAACACACAAATATCCTTGTGACAACCACCACCCTTTTTTGAGGTATTTCCTAACGCTAATACCTTGAACAAAGATCACGGAAATATGCTTTCTATTTGTATTTTTTTACTCCAAAATAATTTCAAACGAATATATAATCGAAATCAAATAAATCTCAGATAAAGCATTTAAATTTTCTATCAACTTTGTTAGATTATATTGGTTGATGATTTAGTTTAATAAATCTTTTCCTCCATATATGCTTACTCCAACTTTTCAATTTAGTCTATGTATATCTAGAAGTGTTACGTTTTAGACTAATACAAGGAATTTCTTTTATGTTTTAGCCTTTCTTGTTATTTTTTATATCATTTTCCTCACACTGCCACAAAAGATATGGTTTAGGAATCTAAGTGAAGGGTATTAAAATATTAATGAAACCTAATTATTTTAATCAAACCCTGTTCATGAAAACCTCAACATAACAAAAAGCTAGCAAACAACATGACAAAATGGTTATATTATAAGGTCAAGAAAAAACCTAAGAGAAACGTTTTTTTTTTCTTTTGCATGTGTATGGGAGAGGGTGGAGAGAGGGACCTGGGATTTGAGGGGATCGTTGAACTCGACGAGGAACAAGAAGCGGAAAAACTCGTCGAGGGTGAGACCGCTGACATCGGATTCGGATTCGGATTCGCATTCGGCGTCTTGTTTGCGCGATTGCAGAACGGTGTCAACGATGCGGTTGGAATCCTCTTCGGTGTAGTCCAATTCGAGTTGGTGGTCATGCAGGAAGCGTAGGAGCTGTTCGGCGGACATGGAGTCGGCGCCGTCAGCGAAGAGGGAGAATGCGTCTTTAACGTCCTGCGGAGGGGCCTGCTCGGAGACGTTGAAGGTTCTGTTGAAGTACTTGAACATTTTGTAGCCGTACGTGACGCTGCCCATTGTTACATGCAGTGAATGATTTTACAGAGGACCAAAGAAGAAGAAGATGAGGAAGATGATGAAGACGTAAATATTAATGGATTAGTGGATGAAAGTTATGAGCTTTGAAGTTTGGGAGACACAAAGAAGTTCCATAAATGGCTTGCGATTAAAGAGGGAAGGGATCCAATGTCGTTTTTTGCACCTAAATTTTCCACCTTCTTTTAACTTCAACTTCCTTTTTTTTTCCCAATATATTTTTTTATAAAATATAAGCACTTCATATTCTTACCTTTAATTCAACGGTTTATTTTAGGTTGAATTAAAAGTTCATATTATATATTATAAAGAAAGATATTTGTGAGTTAAAAAAATGTTAATTTACTAAAACTATAATTTACTCAAATTAATAACTATAATTTTAAAAAGTTTATTTTATAATTTTAATAAATTAAAATAAAAATATTAATCATAAAATATAGTCTAATAAATATTTTAAAAAATATATCAAAACAAATGGTTTGAAAGTAAAAAGTATAATAAGATGGTGAAAAGAAAAAAATTATTTATATCTTAATATAACTATTAACCAATATAAAAATGAAAATTTATAAAAGAAACATTTTATCAAACTCAGAAAAGAGAAAATAATGTGATAAGAGGTATCATCAGATAAGGAAAATAATTGAAGTGTTATTATTATTTAAATATTTAATTACATTCTCTTTTTATATAAATTATACATAAACTCTGTATTTATAATAGAAAATTAAAAAATTACTTTAAAACTTAATTATTATTAATTCTTAAATTATTATCCATCATAACTACCTAATTTATCGATCGATTTTAGATTCATTTTTTTTTCGTGGTTCAAATCTTCAATTATTTAATATTTTTTTTTCATAATTTGAGCTTCAATTTCTTCATTTGCATTTCATTTTTCTGTCAAACTCTCCAATCAATGTAACTTTGATTTATTGGTCGATCAATTAATTCTCGATCAATGTAATTTTGATTTATTAGTCAATCAGTTAATTCCTACGTATGATTCTTCTCAATTGTGAGTAACTCTTCTTTCATTATTTTTATCCACTTAGAATCTTCAATCGCACCTTCAAAGCACACTGATTCGAGTTCAATCTCTGCATATAGAGCTAGTTGAACTAGATCATTCTCATCCTCAATTTCTCCAATAATTCATCCATTTGTCATAATTGTACCATAAATATTTATTACATACTCGTCAAGTCTTACTAGTGCTTATATTGATCTTGTTAGCCAAATTCTTCTTGTGACAATTTATTGAATCAATTGATTTCTTCTCTCGTTGATTTCTTGAATCGATCGATCTTGATTTCTTCTTTCATCAATTTCTCTAATCGATTGATCTCTTCCCTTAATTTCTTCACCACAAGAAACATCAAAACTGATATTTTTGTTTTTCTCCATTTAATTCAAATCTGAACTAGCTTTCTCATTGACTACAACATTTCTGCTAACGATAATCTTCTTCATAATAAGATCATACAACTTATAAACTCTTGTCAGATGATACCCTATCAAAATTAGTTTATCGCTTTTATCATCAAGATTTATTTTCCTTTCATCGAGAATATGTCTCCAAGAAATCAAGTTAAACATCTTCAAATGCTTTACATTCGATTTTTTTCCCGATCAAGCTTCTTTCGGTGTCTTCTCCTTAACTCTCTTAATTGAGCATCAATTCAAAATATAAGCTGCAATAGCAACTACTTCACCCTAAAAATAAACTTTTATTTTTCAACATACTTCTGACCATATTAAGAATCGTTTGATTTATTCTTTCAGTAACATCGTGTTATGATGTGTATGAGAATACAATTTCATGCAGAATACATTTTCCTTACAGAACTATGCAAATTCACCATTATTATACTACCATATTATCTTATATCAAAACTTTAATAACTTTATAACTTTGTTTCTTGACCAGTTCTTTTAAACTCGACAAAATAGTTAAAAACTTCTCATTTTATCTTAAGCAAATATAACCCTATTTTTGTACTCAAATCATCGATACACATAAAAAAAATACTTATTTTTATCTAGTGAGGATACATCGAAAGGTTGACACACATAAATATAGATGACTTCTAACACTCATTTACTTTTGGTTTCAATACACACCTTGAAAGAATTTCTTACTTGTTTTCTTATCATGCAACCTTCACAGGTAACTTTACACTTCTGAATTCGAGACAATCTTATTACCATTTTTTTCTCTACAAGTTGACTCAAACGATCAAAATTTAGATGACTGTATCTTAGATGTCATAACCAGTTAACATTAGAAATTACAACTACAAAACACATATGATTTGATATTGAAATATCAACTTTAAAGGTCTTGTTTTTGCTTAGAGCAACCTTCAGAATCAATGTCCCATTTTTATCAAGAATTATCAATATTTTCTCATTCGATCTTTAATTGATTAAATGTTCTTCTTGCAGAAGTTGATTGATGCTCAATAGATTGTGCTTCATGGTTTGAACATAAAACACATTTAAATTTATTGCATAATTCTCATCTCTTCTACTAATCAAAATATTTTCCTTTCCTTCACAATTTATTGTAGAATTATCTGCAAACTTCACATTTATTTTAATCTTTTCATCCAATTCGACAAACCAACTCTTCTGAAATAACATATGACTAGAACAATTTGTATTCAAATATATGTTTTCTCTGATTTTGTCGTGATCACTATTAATAAAACTTCATTCTCGGAATCTTCCTTTTGCGTCACATTTACTTCTTCGTCATTATTGTTTGAACCTTTGCTCTAACAATTAGTTGTATAATGATCCTATTTGTTGCAATTGTAACACTGTATATTATTTTTTATTACATTAGAACCAGATCAACTACCTCTTCATTGTGAATTTTTGTCTCTGCCACCTTTCGATTGTGAGAAACTCTCATGTTATCCTTTTGAATATCGACCTCCATTATTCTTGTCTCTAAAATCTTTTCCACGACCTCTGTTGTTGAATTTTCCTCGATTACCATCATTCTTCTGATTCTGCTTAGTCAATAAGGTTTGTCCTGAATTGGATTTATCATTTTTTTTTCACATAAATGTTATTCATGAGCCTCCAATGACCCATGTAATTCTTCCAATTTCAATAAATCCAAATTCTTGGATTCTTTGATCGCAACAAAATTCATATTGAATTTTGCATTGAGAATCCTTAGCACCTTTACAACCACCGCTCTTTCTTTTAAACTTTCACCACACAATTCCATCAACTTTGTAAGAAAGAGCAATATTGTAAAATATTCTTAAATGGTTTCTTGAGTTCTCATTTACAATAACTCATACTGGCAACATAAGGTTTAAAGTCGCACAATCATTAACCTTTCTACTCTGCATAACATTGTGTCAGTATATCCTAGGCTTCTTTCATTATATTTGTCAACGAAATTTTCTTAAAATTGTTTTCATCAACACACTGATGAATGTAAAATAAAGACTTACAATCACATTTCTTTGCATTATGAAATATAAAACTTTGTACCTTGGTGAGATTGTTCAGTAACTCATCGTATCCAGTCATAATAATATCTAAGACTTCTTAGAACCTAAAAATAATCTTTATCTTCACCCACCAACGACCTTAACTATTTTATTTTTGTTATCTAGAATTGACATGTTGCCTTGTAACTCATTTTCTATCATTATTATTAAGTTTCTCTTATCTTAAAGTTTTTGATATCACTGTTAGAGAAAAAAATATCTTGGACAAAGTATCGAGAAAAAATAATAATTGAAGTGTTAATACTTATATGTTTAACTACACTATCTTCTTATACAAATTATATATAAACAATGTATTTACAATAAAAATTAAAAAGTTAACTGAACATAATTTCTCATTATTAATCATTATTAAATTATCGAATTATTGTCCAACAAAACTAACACATGCAAGTAACAATATTTGTTGATAAAGTATTTTATTTTAAATTATGCTATAAAAGAATAATTTAATCTCAAGCTAAAATATTAAAAAAATACTTTTCAGCGTTAAAATTTTAATAATTTCAAAAACTAATTTTAACATTATTAAATTTTTAACACAGTCTAAAACTAGTGTTTGAAAAAACAAAATGTAGTAAAACTGGAATGCGTAAATAACAATGGCCTTAAATATGAGTTCACTTTCCTTTACTACTTCAGATCACCTCTAACACTATTTAAATTTTTTAGGACACTATGACATGACGTAGGATAATTATCATTTTTATACATAATTAATTTTTGTAAAAAGATTACTAATTAACTATTTTGACAATATAATTAATGAATGACCAAACATCTCCTCCTCTGCACTTTTCATGGCAGCCATGTGTTTGTCACAATTTCTATACGATAATTTTTATTTATGTGGTTGTTGTATGTCATTCGGTATCACTATCACCTTTTCAAGCGCCTCCTTTACAATTATAAGTCAGCTTCCTAAAAAGACATGACAGGGAAAAGCAAATTCCCAAGGATTATGAAGACGACTTACCCATTACCCATTTGACCAGTGTTTTTTGTCCAACGGAATATTTACCCCACAACACCACTAAATGACTAGAATATCAATATACGGTGTAAGGTTTTTCCCTTCATCAGTTTTGTTTCAAATATCACGTCAGGAATACTTTCCTATATTTCTAATATTATTTCACTTTTCTTGCATCATTCTATTAGAACCTTTGCAAATAGAATGTTTTGAAGATATCTTTCGATTGATAAATATTTACCAATAGTATCATAAATTTTTATATAAAACAATTTTTTTTATATCTAACCAGCTTGAGATTTCAACTCTTCTGGATCCAACACACAGAATAATCATAACAAATAATTGTAGAGTTGTGTGTTCAAAGCATGTAATGTTAGAGGTGGAGGGAAGGTATTCTCTACAATTCATTCAAACTGAAACCGCATCAACAACTTCACAGATTTAAATTTGTCGCCCTTTCTGTTGTATAAAGCAACTGAACGAAATCCATATTTTAACTCTGACACCGGTAAACATGTTTGTCCAGCAAAGTCATCCTTTCCCTGATCTTTGTCCTTTACTTGTATCAGAAGCAATGCAAGCTCTGGAACACTTAAAGAGAATTCAAATTCTTCATCCCAAACAGGAAACCAGTTGTCCATGATGACCTTTGTTTTCTTCTTTGCAACATCACCGGGCACTCCAACTATACGGATCTGTCATACAACAACAATTAATAAGATACACACTAGAACATATTTTTTTATTCTTCCTTTTATCTAGCAAGAATAGCCACTCAAAGTTTCAGGTTCAGAAGAGTAAATAGGATCAAATCACAAGTTCAGAACATAAGAGTATGTGCATTATTTGACATTTATGGTTGTGAATGTTGGGCATTAAAAGGACAATAATAACAAAAGAACATAGCAGTGAAAATGAAAATGTTAAGAGGAATGTATAGCCACGTAAGAAAAGCCAGTATAAAAAATGATTATACAGTAAAGATACTGATGTAGTGGCAAGCTAGAGACATCAGTTAAGCTGATCAATTATGAAGCCGAATAATTGTGTCTAACATCAAGTTCTAAGGTAAAAGATTGGACCTCCTAAGTTTACTGAGAAGTGTTGTTTAATTATCCAACTGACCTTAGTAAAGAAGTCTGGTGGAGAGCACTTATCAAAGTGTGTAGGACTGAAATCTGAGCTCCACCCATGTCCCATGTATACTTTTACCTGTAATTGGACATGACATCATAACATTCAAATGTCACCTTTACATGTATAATTGAAGAATTTGCATTGCATAATTGAGTGATATATGCTTACCTTTAATGTCTTTTTCAATGACTGTATCCTTGTAGGATCAAACTCATTCTCACATTGATGCTTCTGCATTAGAATTCGAGGCTTCTTTACATAACCACATCCTCCATTTGCCCTGAACATTCCCTGCATTAACCAGAGGGATTTACCATGCCCCTGTTGGAGAAGAAATATGATAGAACTGTAGAAGGTTAGAATTCCTGGCAAAGTAACTGGCAAATGAACTTAATGCACATGTCTATCGAAATAATCTCCAAGGCAATAATACTTTTAATTTCAGAGTATCACGTAGTTCTAGGAGAAGGATTCAAGATGTAATTCATTTGAATTTTGACAATGCTGTATTAGACATATATTTACTTTAAAACCCATTCAATTTTCAACATGCATATTGGATTGATCCGCAACAGGAAAACAGCAGAAAGATGTGATTCAGGTTTCACTAGGCTACCCACTATTACTCCATGAAAACACCAGAAGCCATACACTAAAAATTCCAAAACCAAAAACTTCCATTTATTTGAAAAGTTCCTAACCTGCATATTGAATGCAACCATCTGAGCTCCATACATCCACCCAATATGTGGCTTGAAATTTGTGGATTTGACACGCATTGCACTAGGGTAAACCCTGAGGATATTTTTCTGTGTGAACCTGGGAACAGTAAGAGCCTGAATCAGATGAGTCATGGGATAACTACCTAGGTCTAGAATAAGTGTTAACTGTTGAAGAAAATATCAAGCTAAAATGTATAATGGAATCTATCGTTCTAGCTGAAACCATAAATTACAAATACGTTTTCGATAAATTTGACTGCAAACGATTCTGAGAGAATAAATTTCTCTACATATGTATGATTTTTTATGTGTTTCTGCACATCAAAACCTTTTATTAAAAAGCAAAAGTTTATACAAGTTGAAGTCTGTTTGGATAACTTTTTTTTTTGTAAGAATGACAAATACCTAAGAATATCTGTTCCATGAGATTCTGAAGCCTTTTCAAGGGTACTCTCGCTCCAACTTAGGCGTCTAACTTCACCTTCAGTTTTCAATTTATCCTTCAGGCTACCCTTCAGTTTCCTATTATGGATAGTAATTATGCTTTTGTAACCAGGTGAACACTCCACATATGGTTTGTGGTCATATTCACTAGCACTTGTGCTTCCCTCATCACGATCACTGCCATTCTGCTGCACACGAAAAGAAATAACATAAGCACTTAAAACTTACCAATTTTAGAGCCTAAATTTGATACACTGTAGAAGTTTTTACAGTGTTGAATAATAACAAAATAATCTTGAATAATATTCAAAGTGATTAATAATCATTACAAAATTTAACAACTTTCAGTTGATAGGATGGCATTGCAAAACAATTTTACTTGAACTTCAATAAAATTTTAAGTTTTATTTAAAAAATATGAATGCATATATATCTTTGTCTCACGGTGTCCTCAGTCTCCACTTCGTTCCTACTGGAGTTTGGAGATACATTTCCCCATGATTCATCTTCAGACGATTCACTTTCATTCAGCATAGGACAGTTCTCATTGTCCTCAATTCGGTTGGACTTAAAACGTTCTCTTGGGGGTTTGGTGGATATAATAACTCGATTTTTCAGTGATTCTGGTGAAGGGAATTCGGTCAAGCATTCTTCCCCAGGGTAATAAAGCACTTCCCCAAATATTTTAGTCACCATCTGCGAGCCATAAAATCTTGATAAACAAAGGATTAAGTAAAACAGAATCGTATCAACATTCATCAACGAAATTGGATGCTTACTTCTGCAAATTTAGCTCGAAGATCTGTTGTAAGATGGTCTTCTATGGTTATGATCACTGGGTACTGAGATGCAACAAAACCATATTCCTTTATGCACTCTAGACATTTCACAACTGAGACAGGGTTCGTAAGAGTCCTGCATTGTTTCCATAGAAGAGAGAAAGAAAAATCAAATAAGTATGCTTTGTTTTTCATGAGTAAAGAAAGCAAACTTTTTTTGGGATCCCTATAGACTATAGTCAAAATGAACTTGATAATTAACTTCATGTACCATCCATGATCTACTTTAATCTCATCCTTATTGCAAGTTGGCCATAAGTCAAGTTCAATAACTCGCACGCCTCGTTTCAAAGCCTTTATGATTGGCTCTTCACTGCAGTCACTGCTGAGCTGATTTCCTGTCAAATAGGAGTTATGGCCTGTATATATGAAGTAATGTGACAATGGAGCACCCATATCATGATGTACCTGGAATCAACATCATTATATGCTTTTAGAAAAATAAGTCTAAAACCAAAACACAAGAAAGGAGAGCAGGAAGCAAAGAAGAAACTCTTGATGGTGAAGTTACATCTGTTTAGACAAACTTCTCTATAATGATAGAATAAAAATGAATAAGTTTTTAAAGTAAACTTAAATGAACATATGGATACAAGGTTAGATTTGAAATACCCACATAGATACAATTCAAGTATACAGCCCTTACACTTGGAACAAAAGTTCTCTTCCCCATAGTGAGCAAACATGCATGGAAGAGCTTACCTCAGCTTTCAAGGGACCATTAATATCATTATGAAGCAAAAATCGGAAGAGCTCATCAAGGGTGATCTCATGTTCTCTGTTTTGATCAACCTTAACAGTTTCCTGATATGTCTTTCTCTCTTGCAAAACCTTCTCAACAACTTTTTCCGAATCCGATAAGGTGTAGTTCTCTTCACCCTGGTGTTCCACCATGAAACGGTGGAGCTGCTCCACGGACATGTGGGACCCTCCTCCAGTGAACTTTGAAAACGCCTCCACAAGGTCCTGAGGTGGAACTGGCTCGATAACCTTGAACTTTCTGATAAAGAACAAGAAACTTTTGTATTTGTTGTGGGTTACCATGTTGTTTCCCATTCTTTGTGCCTCTCAGCCTGTTCCTCTAAAGCGTTTTAGACATGGAGATTATGGAACAAAGCATGCATTTATAATATGTGGACTGAGGATCAGACTGAGAAAAAAGAAAGAACCTTCTAGGAATCCTCTCCTTCTCTGCTATGTGCCCCTTTTCTGGCTTCCAAGTATATAACTAAAATGATATACATAACAGTTCATACTGTTTAAGAGTTTGAAGACCATTTTTTTTTTGTTGTTGCAAAAGTCTTCCACCAGTTATTTAACATAGCCAAATAGTTAAAACTTGAACTCGACGAAATCACATGTAGATCACACAGTCAGTGGTTCAAAAGGGCCATTTAGTAAAGCATCTCAAATATGTAAGGCCATAAATTCAAAATTGATGATCTAAGTTGCTTTTTTCTGTGTTCAGCCAAATAGCGGACAGATATATACAGCATAAAATAGTTATGCATCTTGTTTATGCATTATTAGATTGATTGCCCAATAGAATCTTACGTCGGCATAGGCCAAAATGAAACTGATTTAGAATTTAACTGTCTGCTGGATTTACGTCCATCAATATTTTTTTCACAAATTCACATAAAATTTAACTACTCATAATTGTCCACTTTATCTAACTCACATACCGAAAGCACAACTATTCAATACATCAAGTTGTCCAATTAAAATAAAACATAGTGCGTGTAGCATCTGGTTCTGTGACTAACTTTCACATTGAATTAATAATATATTATGCAGAAAACAAGACTGCGTTGAATTTAGAAAGGAAGGACTAGTCTGAGGTTAAGGGCAAGGAGGTTTCAAAAGTTATGCACATGTTTCTCTTTTCAGACAATATATATTTGTACACACGAACCACATGTGTATGATCGTATAAATGTATTCAATTGTCGCAGTGGATTCATTTTTGTTCAAAGTTTTGATGAATTTTCTCTTAATCTCATTACACTTTGCTTTGCTTCCATTATCAGTTTTTATATTGTAAAACTAACCGAGGCTTGGTACTGAGCATCTTCCTCATGGAGCTTTTCTGTATTCTGTGCAGATAGTTGAGCAAAGTTTGGCATTGATAATGAATAGATATTTTGTTGAGTTTTGTTTTGTAGTTTATGCCTTACATACGCTATAGTCGGCCTCCACTGTCATTATTCATATTCCACTTCCTTTACTGGATTCTCATCTTTAACGTGATGATGGATGACTTTATGTTATTTTATTTTATGTTCCATCTTACAACCATTGTTAATTTGTCTTTATCTCCTATGATTATGACTTGGATAATTGTGATTAAGATTATAATGAATCTCATGCACTAATCATATCAGTTGGTATGACTCACTAATAATAAACTTAGAAAACTTTGATTAAAATTAAACAAATTTATAGTAATTAATCTTCATACTCCATAATCTTTGCACAATTAACTTCTACATCGGTAACTCCAATCAAAACTGATAAAAACAAAAAACACCGTTTTAAAGCCCATCAATAGCTTTTAAGGTTTATAAAACATAAGTAAGTAAGAAGAGAAATTTTCAAAGTCCATCCACACAGAGATCTCCATTTATAATTTGAAAGAGAAAATTTAAAATATAAAAAAATAGAATTAAATAAAAAGGAGTACACCTTTGCTCCATAAAAAAATAAAATAAAATGTTAAAATAAAAGCACTGTTTGAAAAAAAATACATATAAATAATTCACTAACAACATAAAGACACTTATGCTATATTTATAACCAAACAAAAACAAAAGATATATATTAGTAATACACAATACACGTAAAATTAATACTACATACTAATATTTTACAAGTATTTACAAACTAAAGTTAAGTACTTTTTTAATCCATGATCATGATTCCTTTAAAAAGATGGACAAACATTATTATTATTATTATTATTATTATTATTATTATTATTATTATTATTATTATTATTATTATTATTATTATTATTATTATTATTTATTTTATTTTAGTTTTTATTTTTTATTATTATTTTTATTTTATTTTTTATTTTATTTTTTTTAGTGGAAAACTTCGGCCTAATTTCATTTTTTGCAGTGGTTTGAAGTGCCGGAAGGTTTACTAGGTCCATACTGGAAAGCCGTTGGCTTGGCCTTCAATTGCACTTTTCTTCTCTGTGGATCTGTCATCCAGCTTATAGCTTGTGCAAGGTACGAATTTCCTTTCGTCAAGGTAATACTAAAACGGCCACAATTGTTTTGACAGAAAACTGAAGTTGTGGCCAAAATTACAATGAAACTGTTTTTCAAAACCTTGGTTGTTCTGATTTTTAGATAATTGAAAATTTTGTTGATTTTAAGAGGGAGTTTTGTGATTTGGGTATGGTGTTTGACCGTGCAGTAACATATACTACATAAATGACCACTTGGACAAGAGGACCTGGACTTACATATTTGGAGCATGCTGTGCCACAACAGTGTTCATACCTTCATTTCACAACTACAGGATTTGGTCTTTCCTTGGTCTTGGCATGACCACATACACAGCTTGGTACTTGACCATTGCAGCCATCGTTCATGGCCAGGTAAGCAATACCAAGTACACCGTTGTCGATTTCTTCAGTGGGGTCTCTCTTGTTAGAAGTCGTTTGATCTTAATAACTTGGTGTAAAAAATAAGCACACTGTCACTCCCTCTTTAATTTTGCAGGTTGAAAATGTGACTCACACAGGTAGAAGCTTATTGCACGACCACTTTCTTCAATTGCAGCTTTTGCCTCCATTCTAATGGGACCTTAGAAAATAAGACAAAACGTTGAATCTGGCACTTTTGAACAACCATTACACTGCTGTCTTCGCCCCCCTTTCCATCTCCCTCTCAACTTTATCCATTGAATTGATCTATCTATCTTTATATTCTGCGTTCCTACAACCCCATTACCCGAGTACAATGAATAACTCGAGTAATGACTTTTTACCACATGACATGTACCATGTAAAAGGAATGGGTATTTACTTTACCAACATTGAAAATATGAGTACAAGAATTATGTTTATTTTTGTGTTATCATGTATATTTAATATTTACACATTTATGAATATTTTTATCCATCATTCAAAAGGAATTTCGAGCAATGGGACCATGAGAACAAACTGATTAGTACTGAAATGCACAGTTCTTTATATGTTTTTTTTTTCTTAAATATTCTCTTCTGTACTCTGATATAATTTCAACCTTTTGAGGGTAAAGCTAGCAATGTATTTACCCAGAAACAAAAAAAGGGGGGTCCAAAGTAGGTTAGAAAACAATTCTGATAACTCATTTGGACATATCCCAGGACTGACAGACCGAATTTCATTTTCGACTTGAAGCATATTAGTGGAAATAGAAGGAATTTATTTGATATGGAGATGAGAGCATCTGGGTCATTTGCTTGCAGTTGGATTTACGTTGTTGTTACATTATGCACTAACGTGGACCCTAATGACTATTACAGGGAAATCATGCATGCAATTTGGAAACCTCAAAAGTTCAAATATCTTTATGCCACTCTTTTTTGTATTCACACTCACCCTACCATCTGCCATTGCGGTTTACTGGGCCTTTGGTGACCAACTCCTGGACCACTCCAATGCCTTCTCTCTTCTCCCCCGCACTGGTTGGCGTGATGCTGGTGTCATCTTAATGTTGATTCACCAGGTCCTTACACAGTTTTTCCCCTCCCTCAAGATAGCCAATTTCTTTTCAAAAGATTTGTGTTATTAATTCATGCAACATTTATATATAACAATATTTCCTGTGTTTACAAATAACATTTTTTTTCTTCATTTAATCAAGAAAAAATTACTTGTGTAATAATGTAAACAGCACCAGAGAGAGAGAGAGAGAGCAAAAATAAAATAAGTTTTACAAACTGATGAGTTTTATTTCTTACTATGTGGATTGCAGTTTATCACTTTCGGATTTGCTTGCACACCATTGTATTTTGTGTGGGAGAAAGTGATAGGAATGCATGACACAAAGAGCATATGTTTGAGGGCACTTGCAAGGTTGCCTGTGGTGATACCAATATGGTTTTTGGCTATTATTTTCCCCTTCTTTGGCCCTATTAACTCTGCTGTGGGGGCTCTTTTGGTTACCTTCACCGTCTATGTCATCCCTGCTTCTGCTCATATGCTCACTTACAGGTCTGCTTCTGCACGACAGGTAATTAGTCCAATCTTTTCATATCTCATCTTTGTTTGTTTCTACCTAATCCCTGTCTCTTCTAACTGGCTTTTACTTTGCACATAATAAATTTCTACAAAATCATAAAATGTGGTTGTATCATATACTAACATTCACTGTTTAGACCAGTACTAGTCAATCTGGATTTTTAATAGGCTGCTAAGTTGTACATTCTACGCACAACTTGTAGTTAACATATAATAACAGTACAAAACATTTAACTACCCATTGTGTTTTCTTCCCTAGTAAAAGGCTAAACCTTTTAAAAGAAAGCTTTCAATATCTAGAACTGATTATTTTTCTGAGCAGGTCTTGAAACATGTGTGTAATAATGTTTGAGTGTGATATCTGCTCCATGATTGAACTTGGAAGAAGAGACTTTCCCAAGTCACTGGCAGTATTGATCCCTACCCTACTTGTTCTATTAATTATAAATAATTGAAAATTTATGGGACACGATGGGGTTGGTTCTATTTCTTTGTCATTCAGTTATATGCTAGAGCCATACTATGCTAACCAATGTCCGCATTTTAGCAATGAGATGGGCCATGGCTAACCTAACGCTCTCAACTGACCCTACCTGGTATTCACGTTGCTGTTCCTAACAGATGCTCAAAATAAGTCAGCAACTTATTACTGTCAACTAACAGTAACACTACTTTTTTGTCTTATGCTTCAATGAGAATAAATTAATCATGAAAAACTTGAATAACTATTAGTGTCAGGAAATTGTATCTGAAATGTGAAATCAGACAGTTAACATTTAACAATTTATTTGTGCAATGTTTTCAGAACGCTGCTGAGAAATTGCCCTTCTTCATCCCAAACTGGTCTATAATGTATGTGATCAATGCATTTGTGATGGTGTGGGTTCTAGCGGTGGGATTTGGATTTGGAGGGTGGGCTAGCATGGCAAACTTCATCAAACAGGTTGACAAATTTGGACTCTTTGCCAAGTGCTACCAGTGCCCCCCGCATAAAACCGCAGGTTCCAACCAAACACTGCATCACTGAAAACTACATATTTTTTTTGCATGATACATACAGGAACACATCAGCATCTTCCCCCTTGTGTATTGTCCCTACTCTTGGTATAATCTGCGTATAAATATTGTTAACACTGATATTCCCTTGTGTAACAAGGCAACATTGTTCTATTTCTTCGCTTTTGAATCATTTTGCTTAATTGTAATCATGAACTATACTTAGCTTTGGCTTCAAAGTTGAAATAATGCTAATAAAAATGGCATACTCAATAAATAGGTTGTCATATTCTTATTATAGAAGAGGATAAAATTCCTGGATAAACAAAAAAATCCTTATCCAGAAACTTCAGTTTATCAAATTGAAACCCTGGTCAAAATCATTTTAATTTTCCATCATATCCCTGAAATGGGAGAATACAATTGAAAGCCAACTACGTACAACGAAATGAGTAATATAAATCATGCAATATGAATCAAAATACTTCATCCATATCACAAGTTGCCAGCCAAAAGAAGAAGAGGAGACCATATACTCGTCATCAAGAACTGTCTTGATCTCATCAAGAAACAATGTTGGTGTGGCAAGAATTTTGAGCATACAAGAAAAGGCTCAGAAACCTGCAAAGACTGCGGATTACAACACGTGAGGCCCAAAGGTATCTGTCCGGATTGCATATAGGAACAATTGTGATATGTGTCATATGACGTATACTTGGGGCACATTAGAATAGGTTGAACAACCTGCACAAATAAACATAAGGCTTTTGACAAGAGAGCAACACTCTAATAGATTCCTTGATAAAGAAGCAAAGCTTTCCAATGTGGAAATGATTAATATTTATGTGATCAAAGTCAGAAGGCATTAAAATAGAGAAAATTCATGCAATCTCCATCATGTTAATAAGTACAAAATAAACGAGTATTTACCCTAATTTTTAGTCCCGATTGGCCATGGCATACTCACATCAAAATTTTGGGCATAATTAACATTAGTAAAAAGTTTATAATTACTGCAACTTGAAGCAAACTCATCCAACTTGAAAAAAATAGAAAGTGGTTAGCAAATGATGTAGCCAAGTTTAAACTGTAGAATCACCAAATCATGACATAAGATCAACGCTTTTGTTTAGTCGTTTCACACTCTATTTCCAATATTCCGAGAAATTGATGGGTTCACATTCAATGGAGAACGGTTTTACAAAGGCACTCTTACTGAAGCATTGTGTGAAGGACTTTTTCTCGTGGACCTATTAGCAGAATTGTAGCGTGTGAACTTAGCAAGATGCAAAACTAAGCTATAATAACATGGCTGCTCTACTAACTTGACTCCTAAGCAAATCACCCAAATTGTGATTAATAATATAACTCAGACAATCAACTTAGGTCAAAAGCCAGAAAATAATTTCAGATGAATGGGAAAAAAGAATTGCATGTGTGCCATACAAGGGTATAGGGGTCTCAATTTTTGCTTCCTCACACATATCCTTGTCCTGCAAGAACTGCAGTGCAAGTTAACACTAAAAGGTAACTCCAAGGAGATGTGTATTTAGTTACAAACTTTTGTGTGTATGTATGATTTGTTTGAATAAGCTTAACTATCAGTTGTGGAGTAATATTTTGTCATTACTTAAATAGGGATATTATGGAAAGATTGCAAAAGAAGGATCAAACTACTACTACTACTAGCATCCCTTTTCAATTTTCACCCATAGCAACCTCAAGATTAAATTGCAGTAGTTTCGAGTGCTATTAAACATAAGATAGACAGAACATTTTACTTGACCTTGTGCTTGGCAATCTGTTCGCTAACCTCTCTCAAGTCACCTTTGGTGAAAATTAATGCCACATTTCCCTGTTTCAATAAACAAACTTAAAACATTAAAACAGTATTCATAATTCAATGAAATTGTACCTTCTTTAATATTATTATTATTATTATTATAAAATTTATTTTCTGGTACAAGAGACTCCGAAACGAGGTAGCAGATTTACCACAAGAAGGGGGACAAGGTTAAGGAAGGACTTGTTGCCAGTCTTCTCAGCATCCAAGATGATAGAACGTTTCATCATGGAGTTCTTTCCCATCACCACCACTGAATCGGCATGGAGTCCCCTCCTTATGCCCTGAAGCTGGTTGGAACCCACATTGTCCGAAGAAATCACCAGCACTTGACTGTACTCTCTCAGAAGCTTCAACATCTTTGCATCATGAGCTGCTTTTGCCAGTTTTCCCGCCATTGCTGCTGATCACTATAGCTATCAAATGTGGGTTGGCTGACTACAAGTTGTCAATGAGTTGTCTCACAGTAATAAAAGGGAAAAAAAAAAGAGAATATTTGAAAAAAATAAATGGAGGACAAAATTCATCAATTTGAATATATAGAAACTAAAAAGTATAAGAACTAAAAACATATTTTTCTCAGAAGAAAAATAATAAAGAAAAATTCTTAGACTTTGGTGGGAAGAAAAAATAGAACCAAACACACATAATAAAAATGACGATGGTTCTGCAAGGTGTCATTTCAATAAAGTGCTAGAAGTGAAGCCATGTATTTTTTTGTCACTCATTATAATCAATGTCCATTTCTCACAAATCAATTACAGTGAAGTGACATCTATTTTTTCCTTCCACTCACTTGCAGTGAATGTTTGAAGTTTAGAACAGTGAGTTCATTTATACTCATAACAAGAAGAACAATTATGCAATAAAATCACAAATTAACTTACAACAGGTATTATCTTCCATAAACTAGAAAATAATAGAGTTGCACTAATGCAATGCCAAACACATCAAGTAAATTTAAGAGACTGTGAGCAGCTTAAAAGCTTCCATCAATATGATTTAAGAGAGTATGAGAAAATTACACAAGGCAAATTTAAGAAGTGGCCAACAAGGTAGACTTGGTATCCTGCATTCAACCAATTCAAATACGGTATGTTGTCTCGATAAACTAATGTAAAGGAAAATAAAATAATCTATTTTGTAAAATTTCTTTCATCAACTTTTCCAAAAACTAATTTTTAATGTAAACATGAGTTAATTTTAGTTTCTAAAAGAAAATTTTATTTTGTAATTATAAATAATTTCTTCTTTTTCCTAGAGAGATTTATTCAAATTGACCTTAAATCTGTTGTCATCTAGAAAGAACCAGAGTTCATAAGTACAATTCACGCAGTAGCACAAGAATAAATTACAAGGAAATTTCACTGACACAATGTACTAATAAATTTTCAGAAGTACACAGCACAAATCTAAACTCGTTGTTCTAAGCCAAATTGGCCGACAGCCCTAGATGTCAACGTTCAAACGCACATCATACTAATAGCCTAATATGCCTCACGGTAATCTGCCACACAATCCAACAATAACATAGTCTGACACCAACCCGATCCATTATAATCAACAAATCCAAAAATGAATGCAATCAATCAAGATTAAGATACACAATAAAACAAATGTTCCAACCATGCCCACCTAAATAAACCTGCTAGAATCAAATTGCTTCATCAAATCCCCAACAAGAATTCCCACACTCAAGGACGAAAGCATTGAGGCTTCAACAACCAACCAAAATCATATTCAATCACGACCAGGCTCTAGACCCACACACTCAGAGAAACATAACACAGAATAACAGTTTAAAACAAATAGCATCATCGCCAGCCATCCGAACCCATAACAGATCCAGTCCAAAAATCAAACAAATGATAGAAGGAGAGCCAAATCAACACAAACGAAATAAATATCCCTCCTTCTGCTCCTGCCAATTCCTCATTCAACAAGAGAAATCAAGACATTGGAAAACAATGAAGAGAGATTAAACAACCCCAAGCAAGTTACGACCCAAGCTCCGCAATCCCCTGGTTCCATCCATAAACACCTGCACTCAATCTTCGCCAGCCCAAACAATCACATTTAACCTATCAGATCACCTCACTCGGCCAAACCAAATTCAACCAGAGAAACAGGCAATGACAGATTGAAACCCACGATGCTAGACTTCACATAAATCAGGGACAGTAATCAAAACAACATATCAAAATCAAAACAATCTATCCAGAATCGAATCAATCTAAAACCCACACATAACCCGTCCTTAAGCAAGGAGAACAGTCCAGACTCAAAATAGAATCAAAGCAAAGGGATGTGGGCCAAAAGGCTTGACCCGCGACCTCTCTGACTCACCTCTAGTTCACGGCGGGCTCAGGGGCGCGATTGGGGCGAACGGGCTGAGAAGGGGGCCGCGATTATTCACTGGTGGTGCTCGCGGGTTGAGCTAGGGCTGAGACCCGCGGTGGTCGCAGGTTTGAGATTTGTTGAGCGAACTTGAGTGTGCAGTTTAGGTGGTTCCGTTGAGGGTGATTATGGCCGTTCGCGTCGGCTCGTGGAAATGGGGGTGGATTGGCCGAGGGAGAAAGCTATGCAACATTCGGGCTCATAATCCGAAGGTAAAAATAATTTTATCTCTAATATACTTTACTTTTTAACCATTTCTTTACACATTAAAAATTAATATTCTAATGCAAATTAACTTAAATTCATATAATCAAATACAAGAAATTCATGCAAATAAGAACCCTTATTTCTATGTCACCAGATGGTAAAACATGATATAAGGGAATGAACTATTCTCTACAGAAAATGTATGACATGCATCCCATTTAAGTCACTCATGCGACCCCGTTTTTTAATATAATTTTATTTAATAAATTTGATTTTGTTTTTTGATGAAAAAGTAAATTAATAAAATTGGAATATAAAAAAAATATATAAGGACAAACCCTAATACGTGTTTAAACTTCTTTAAGATATTAGATGAATAAGAGGTTGTTTAGAGAGTATTATTATTTACTATTACTTAATTAATAGTTTATATCGAATATTTGTTGTTTATACGAAAAGAAATTGATCATAGGTACATATTATTATTATTATTATTATTATTATAATATCTTTTAAGGTGTTAATAAGCTGAGTCTTTTTGAATAAGATGATAATAACATATTATTTGATAGACAATTTCACTTAATATTAATAATTGATATTAAGTTAAAATTTAAATATATTATTAGAATTTATAATTCTTCTATTAGTTTGTTAAACATCTGTTTAGGCAAATTATTAAATAATCTATCATTTATATCAATTAGTTAAGTATAAGTTATATATTTTTTGAATGATTTTTTTATTATCAATTTTGATATTAAATTGAAATTTGAATGCATAGTTTATTTTAATATAGTGGTTGTAAATATGGAAACTAATTTGAAATGGAATTTCATATGAAGTGTTTGAAGGAATTTTAGATGGTTTTTAATTTTATGAACTTGTTTTAATACATAGCAAGAGTGATTGATTCAAGTGATAAATGCTTGATTTTTTTTCAAGTAAAGTCTTATGTTCGAAAGGGAATGATAAACTGCTCTGGGAATTATACAACCTTTGGTCATTTATTTTTCTGTGATGTGAAAGGGAATGATGGTGGTAAAAAGAGTGCCAATTGATGGAAGGAAATAAACATACTGACACAGTTGCAGTTTCTAATTGATGTTTTTATGTCATTTTGAGACAATCTTTTGTGTTATACAGGGGATTCTTTAACATACCACAGGGCTTCAAAGATGCCCTGGTTACTACTTCACCACAGTATATTCACCATTTGATGCATGAATGAATTATCAGCCACAAATTTGTGACATATATCTCTAAAATTCTATACGCACTACAAAGAACTTGCGTATGTGTTTGAACTGCCATCTCAATTGCATATTCTGAAAGCTATGAAAACTATAGATGCCACAGAAAAAATGAATTTCTCTTTGGGATTGTCCATTTAACAATTGCAGATTGTCCGAGGGATTTATATGTGCAGCTTTATATTTCTATGTTTACTTTCTCTTTTATCTCATTTTCATTCTTTTATCCCTTTCATTTATCAATTCTTTCTCTCTTTTTTCTTTCTATCTGTACACTTTAAATTTGTGAAAAATCATTAAGAAGTCCTAAAACATTATTATCTATGTTAATACTTACATGACTTACAATGTAGTATAATCAATTCTTTCTTATGTAATATAAACATTTATTGAGATCATGAGGAGATGATAATTTAAGCATACCTAATAAGTTTTCCATTTCCTTTGTTTTAACCTCAACATCACCTTTTTGTGCAGAAAGCATTGGGGAACACAATGGTCTTGCAGCAACTTGTGTTCCCTTCCTTATGTAGCAGCATACCATAATAGAGCTACAGATATATGTGAAAGTTGAACTCCCCTTGCATCCATATTGGTTAACCTAACTTTATAGCCCAAAGTGGGTGATGTAAGAAGAAAAGTATCAATCTATGGAGTTAGATTTAGTACTGAAAACTTAAAGTTCAAGCAAAGTGGACCAGGTGTGCTCCAGACATTTTATTTAACTAGGTATTCACTATTCAGTTCATGTAAAAAACGTGACAATTCATTCCAAAAAATGTAATAAATCCATAACAAGTTACAGAATAATTAAACAATATAATGTTCTTCTCTCTCACATTATAGCACAAAGATACTCCAAAAAGGGAACAAAAATCGCACACAAAAAATTACAACAACTGACACAGAGCAGAGAAGATCGAAATTGGAATCTGAACGAATCACGAAGCGACTGAAGTCACGATTTGTCACGTGCGACGTTGGCGGCGGAGTGGTGGTATTGGAAGGCGACGGAGAAATTGGAGTTAAGATCGGAGTAGAGAGAGAGGACCTTGGAGATGTTGCCGTTGAGCTCTTGAATGAGAGACACGTTCTTGACCATGTTGTGACGGAGCCTAGATTGTTGGTTCTCGTTCACCTCCTCGATCAGGCGGCGGTTACGGTCCAACATCGACTGCACCTCGCGGAGACTTTCGTCGACCGCCGTCCACACCGCGGGGTCGCCGTCATCTTTTGTGGCGGAGGAGCGGCGGGAGAAGTCGCCGTTCATTGGGGATTCGGTGGTGGAATAAAAGTGCAAAAACTTTTAGGGCGAGGAAGGTGTGCACATTGCAATTTTGCTAAACAATCTATTTTTCTTTATCAGGTATATTTAAATAGAGTGGTGATATATCATTCCACCATTTCAATAACTCACTCTTATTAATATAATATAAAATAAAACTGTTATTATAATATTAATAACTCACTCTTATTAATATAATATAAAATAAAACTGTTATTATAATATTAAAAAAGAGTTATTTATAAAAATGGTATGAATTTAGATGGTCAGATATTATTTTCTATTTAAATATACTTATTTTACTGTCGGTTTAAATATTCATTACAAAGTTTGTTTTAGAAAAAAAAAGGTTATTTAATGTTGCCCACATTTTTTAAAATAGCTTTTGTAAAATTTATTTTTTATACATTACTTTTTATTTTAAAAACAAAACTCACATAATAAATAAACTAAAATAATGTTCAAAATAGGTAAACAGTTTTTATATATATAATAATTCGTTTTGTCATTTTTTCATTATTATACAAACTATCTAGATCTTTTTCTTTGATAATCCCGTATTTACTTTTTATTAATTACTTGATATTTAATGTCTTGATTGCGTACTGATCATAATTTAATCTTTCAATAAATATCATTTAGTTTGATAAACCGATCTAAATATAGAGAACCTCAAATTTTATGAGCAACAAAATTGAAATCTGATTTTATTTTTAAAGTAAAATCAACCTAAACTGGAAACATATACTACTAATAAATTTGTCTTTTGAAAATTTTATTTTATAAAATAATTTTTAAAATAAAATATTATAAATAATAGTTATGAAATTATATTTCATATTAATAAAATAAAATGTCATAAGTGATGATATATTCTTTAAATATATTCTAACTAATTTGATTTAAACCAAATAAAACACAATTTTCTCTCTCTTTGAATTTGAGTTTAACTAAATTTGTGTTAATTAGAAGTCGTGATCTTACAATGATACAAGAAAGTGTTAATAGATATTTTTAATATGTAATTGATTTTCTTTCTTAAATATGACTTTGAACACCATTCTATTAAAATTTAAATTTGTTATGCTATCACGATTCTAATTATGAGATCTTCTTTATTAATACTATAACAAATATAATCAAATGTGAAAAGTAATTTTGTTAACAAGATGATTGGAATTTTTTTGAAGAATAAGTAGAATGAAAAAAATGTTTCATTAAAATTAAAAATAATGTAATAAACTATTCAATTTAAATAGTTTTACATTAATATATAATTATATAGAAAAAAAATGTAACTGTTTTTTGGTATTATTAAAAAAATAAAAAAATAATAAAAGTATCACTATTTAAAAAAAATTAGTATGATTTATATATTTAAAAAATAATACAAATATAAGAGAGAAGAATATAATATTTAATCAATGAAAAAAATATATATGCTTAAGTAATAGAGAGAAAACAAAATAAAATTTAAAATAATATTTAAGTGTTTGCTGTAATATTAGTTTAAGTTTAGGATCTACGAATAAGATGTGTTAAGATTAGGTTAAGAAAATATTAGAATGAAAAGTGCATACTCAATCATCATGAGTAAAAAATTATATAAAATCCACGTCAAATTTAAATTAAGTTTACTATTTTTTATTTATTATATATTATTTTAATAAAAGTGAATAATATAACAAGAATTCTATTAACAATGACTTTAAGAACTAAAATATAATTTTAGTAAACTGAATATTTTCAACTTTATTGCTTAATATTTACAAAAAATATTATTTAATTGTTATTATAATTTAAAATATTAAACTGATGAAATAGTTAATTTACGTCTTAATAATCATAAAATAAAATAAGAGCGAGAATAAAATTTTAACATAATTTAAAAAAAATATGCTTGTTCCTTGGACTTAAATGAAGGTTTTTAATTATGAAAATTAAATTTGATCATTCGAAGAAAGTGAAGATTTGGTGGAAAAAAAACTCGTAGCAAATATGAGAGGCATCTGCAAAATTTGAACTACGTTTATTTTTTATTATTTACTTTTTATCATAAGTTTAGTATTTGGTCAACACGCATTTGGTAAAATATGGCTATGTCTTATCTTATATACTCTTCATTTCTAGAAAGTAATTCACATATTTTGAAAATAATGTCATACGTATCCTAATCAACAATGTTGAGTAAGACATTAAACAGTTTTTTTTTATAAAGTAAGAAATCCATTTAAAAAAAATTGAAGCTCTTATTATAATTCAAATTTGGACAAATACATTGTGTTAATGTATATGCATTTTATCATACTTTTTAATGAAATTTTTTAAATATTATACAATTTATACATGTTTTATGATTAAAATCACTTTTTAAAAACATCACAACCAACCACATCCATTCATATATATATATATATATATATATACTTTTATCAATTAATGGAGTGCATTTTATTTTTTCAACTCACCATCATAAGGAAGATTTTTATTATATCTCTACAAATTATTATATCTTTAGAAATTTTTATTATAATAATATAGTTAAAAAAATATTTTTATATCACAATATTAGATAAAGTTAGTTTTAATATTGTATTAAAAATAATAAAATATTTAATTTAATTTTACAAAATCAAATTTATAAGGTGAAAAGTATTCTATATACCATAATTTTATAGCATTGATGTGAAAATTTTATCACACCTTTTCATATTAAAAAGAATTTTTCATCCTATTTTAACATGTTTCAAGGATAAATTTTTATCACATCCCCATATTCATAAGGATCTCTACATCCTAATATCTATTAGAATTAGTGATAATATCATATTAGAAATTGTGAGATACTATCTCAATCTTACCAAACTTACTCAATAAAATAAGAATTGTATTCAATTATATACTATAATATTATTATATATTTAGTTGTATATGATTTCATCACACTCCTTTATTTTAAGGAGGATTTTTTATTGTCCATATCTTAATATAATATTATCGCATATCTAATTTATATGAAATTTTACCATACTCTCTCATCTTAAAAAAAAAATTATCACATCCTTAAAAATGATTTTTTATATCTCAATATCACTAAAATGACACTGATATCATATATAAAAATGATAAAATGCTTAACTCAATAATAATGAATGTATTCATCTATGTATTATGAAATAATCTTATTTTTAGTTAATTTAATATTTCATCCGAACTCATCTATAATTTTTTATCAGTAGAAAAATTAAATTAATAATTTATATAAATACGCCCTTATAAAAAATTTAAAAATACTACTTAGAACCAAATTGAACATGTAATTAAAGGATGATCTATTATATTAATGTACGAATGGACTCTTCTAAAATAAAAAAAAAGTACACAAAAGAAATATATATTATTCAACATTATTTGCATAAATATTTTCTAGTAAAGTTTATAAACGAAAAACAGAGTAAAGAAAAAAATTCAAAATTATAGAACTCATAAAAAAAATTGAATATAATGTTTATTATTATCTTTATTCCAGGTTTTAAACCCCACCAACTTTTGGCTGTAGAATATTGATTTATGTACGTTTATTTGTTGAAAGAAATTATCTTCCATTGTGGACATGAACATATAGTATATACTAAGTTAGCTTTGCGAGTTGAATTTATAGATTTTTTTTTAATTTATTAATAAACTAACTTTTAAAACCATTATTTTTCAGAACTACCATTTTGGATACTCTCTCATTGACATACCCCTACTCTCTATTGCACGATCACTTCTCATCTTATGTAAGTTCATGGACATACCAAAATCTTCAATTTCTAAATACCCTTTTGAATTTTAAGCTTCACCAAACTTTTTAAAGCGTTTTTAGTAATGTTTTCTAATTAAAAATAGGATTTTTGTTTCATAATAATGTTTTGATTGATGGTGACTTTTGTGTAGGTGTTTATAGTTTTTGTGATGGGCCAAGGCGTTCACGTTTAGGGTTGGAGAAAGAGGATTAGGGTACGATAGAGGCTTCCAAATAACTCTCTTCGTGTGGTCGTGTTCTTTGGCAGTGGGACATGTCGTTGTTGCCTACAGAACAAGTTGCAGACAAAAAATAAAACTTCTCGTTTACAAGATTAACATTGAAGCTGTAAGAACCTGTTCTTCCTACCTTATATTACAAGACAAGACAGAAAAAGAAGAAAATGATATTTGCTTGTTTTCATGTAAATAATTTATCGATTGCTACGTTATTTTATTGTATTTTTTATAATTAGTAGGTGTTTTAGAAGAAATTTTCAAAATGGTTTTCCTTTCTTTTTTTATTGAGTTAGGCTATTTTTTAGAAGAATGGAGTTTAATTTTGACCGATTATTAATATAAAATTGTCTTGCGATAATAGAATTACTATAGTTTTCATACATTTTAATTAAATGCTTTTGCATCACAATATTTACAAATATTTTTATATCTGTAATATTTATGAATATTTATAGATATTTCTTATTTTAAATAAAATAATTTAAAAATTATTTGTAAAATATATATTTTAGTAATTTATTTCATCATAAAATCTAATTTAAATAAAATTAAATTATAAAATATTAATATAAATAAATTTATTTTTTCATAAAATATTAATTCAAATAAATTATAGAACAAATTATGAATTAAATAATAATATTTTAAAAATTAATTTTAATTTCATTAATTTAGATAAAAATTATAAATTTATAAATTCGAATTGTAATTTTTTTAAAATATTCAACATTTTCTAATTAATAATTTTATTTTGATAATTTTATTTAAAAATAAATAAATAAAAATTATTAGTGGATAACATTTTTACATATTATCAATGTAAATATATTAAATAAAATGAATAATTTTGGACAAACTAAAAAAATATGGATATGCAAAAAATTACCTTTCTATCTTACTTATGATTCAAGATTTGAATATTGATGATGTCAATATAGTTTGTTTGATATGAATCATAA